TATACGTAGTAGTAGTAGTGTTCGTTTCCTTACTTAACTTATAGTACTAACTACGTACGTGTAGTGTGTGTGTGTGTGTATATATATATATATATATATATATATATATATATATATATACACACACACACACATATACATTGACTGTCCACCATTAATACCTCCTGCCCATGTGAGGAATACTAATAGATGCTAGTAGCTTGAGCCTAATAAGTGCAATCATATTAGTCACTCTGTACGGCAATGGGTAAGGATATGTTAGACTTAAACAGACACATAACGGTTGGGGCTCAACTATAAGAACGTCATTAGTAAAGACCATTTCTATTATTGGTTGTTCAAAGTCTTATCAAGAGAAGCAAAAGCTGGCTTGCCGACTAAAGGAAAATATGGTTAGACATGCTTGCTAAGTGCAACAGACTGTGTTTCAACTGACTGATTCCATTAAAAGTGATTGGGATTCAACTATATGCAACGGGCATAAAACAAATGTCGTATAGTGATCATCAGTCCAAACATTGGTCATCTCTAATGCAAACAGGAAACATACTGTTGACTGGAAATGTGCTAGATAGTCTAAAAAATCACTTTAGCCCTTTTAAATGCTGACAACAGGGTAAAAATATGGGAAGCTGCAAGAGGCCAATGACTACTCGTATTGTTCCTACAGTACAAGGTGCTAGAGAAGGTTTGTGTGACAGAAGTGTTCTGTGATACCTTACGAAGGTAAGTAACATCCAGAGTATACCTGAATTTCAACAGTGATGAACAACAGCTCTTCCAAGGCCACAGTGAAACAATCTGAAATGTTCACAATATCCAAAACAGATAAAATATTAAATTACTGTTATTTTTAATGAATACGACAGAAAGAAAGGTGATCCAAATAGAATAATGAACTCTTTATTTCAGTCTTAACTAAAAATAAAAGAAAACAAGGCTTCTATTTTTTTCTTTTTCTCTGATGAAGCTTCAACAATTACTAAACATTTTAAACAATAAGTATAAAGGCACAATATATGAGTTGTTTCATCTGCAAAGATTACTAATTATGCAAACAGTAACATTTCTTTACTACATTCCAGGAAAAATACATGGTGAATTTACCACTTTTTTAAAATTCAAATAAACAGAGTATATTTGGTTTCAAAGTAGCTACAGGTTAATACTTAAGCAAACACTTCAAAAAATCCATAACCACTACTTCTTTTTCACTATAATACTGCTACTGTATTAACATCTACTATACACTCAAGCAACACTAATTATTAAAACCAACATTATTATCAATAAGTCAAATATTTGATTGTTTTTCTTTAAATACGTAAAATAGCTTCAAATTACTTTAGTAATGGTAAAGATCTTTGCTACAAAATAGTAGACATGACTTTTTCTCAGAGGCAAATTTCACACAATAGTGTTCATTTTCAAGATATCTACTGAAAAAACCAAATGCTTGTATTCAAAATGCTAGATTAATGTAAATATTATATGTCAAGGCATTATTAAAAAAACTGAAGGAGTTCTAAAAAAAATCAAAATTTCAAAGTGATTTAGACATTTCCACAGTTTTCTAAGAGCTTTGTGAAAGTGATGTATTTGGTTTATTAATATTCAGAGCAATTCTTGAGATAAGTCTGTTACACAAACACCTACATTACACTAATTATAGCAACAAATGCCAAATATCTTAATATCTACTACAGTAGTTTCTAGGTTTTATAACCTTTATGGTGTTCTAGCTACTTTGGAAATCCTAAGATCCAATAGCTTCACCTACATCATTATAGTGTAAATAACCGCCTCACAAGTACAACCTCAACTTACATCTTTACAATGTTCCAGATACCTCAGCTACCCTAAAGTTTACTACCTCAATCTACATCTTTACAATATTCTAGATACCTCAGCTGCCTTAAAGTTTACTACCTCAACATATATCTTTAGAATGTTCCAGATACCTCAGCTGCCTTAAAGTTTACTACCTCAACATATATCTTTAGAATGTTCCAGATACTTCAGTTATTCTAAAGTTTACTACTTATCCTACATCTTGACAATGTTTCAGCTAACTCAGTTGTCCTAAAGTCCATTGTCCCATCCTACATTTATACATTGTCCCAGATACCTCAGTTGTACTGAAACTAACTAACTCCTCCTATACTTTTAAATTGTTCCTCAGTCTTCCCAGAGCCTACAGCATCATTTTACATCTTTACAATGTCTTGACTATCTCTGCAGCCCTACAATCTAGTAATCCCTCCTAGTGTTACAAGTATCTGGAGAGTACTTTAGCCCATTGTTCACTCCAATACTTTTTTTACTCAAATATTTGGTTACAGCAATTATAGAATTCATACTAAAATGTCCTACCCACTTCACAAGCCACACCTTTTAATGCAAAACAAGTCCTCAAACCTACCACCTCATCCTACATCTTTAAAATGCTCTGGGTACCTAAGTAGTCCTAAAGTTTATTGACTCCTCCTATCTCTTTAGTAGTCCAGGAAACTCAGGAGTTCTTCAGTCTACCATATATTCCTGTATTTCTACATTAATCAAGGTAGCTCTATAGTCTGAAATCTTCCAGTTTCTCCTAAGCCTATACTTTTTATTTTTTATGCTTTTTTAAATCTAAATATCTGATCACCAAACACTTTCAAATCTCCTAACCATTTTATAACATAACTACTAGTGCAAAGCTATACTTTTATCCCATCTCACAATAAAAATCAACCATCATAATCAACTTCTTTAACAATGTTTTTCATTGCATTCAAAATATTTATGCAAGTTGTGGAGGTGAAGGTACATAACGATTTTAAAATATAATGCTACAGAGCCTTCCCACTACACATGGATTTACACGTATATGACACTTGTAAAACAATAAACCTGTATTAATAACACATTGGACTAAACTGTGAAAATACATGATACTAAATTTTCCAAATCCATGCTACTATTTGGTTTTGTTCGTAATTAGACATTCATAGAAACAAAAACTTAAAAATTATAATAAAAAAATTCATGACAACAACATGACTTTCATCTGTTTATGATTCACATAATTCAATGACTATTAAACACTGTGAAGAAATGTAAAGGGACAATTTAAGAATAACTTTGTCAGGGAAAACTACTAAACAATTGATAATTACAATAAGAATGTTTTAATAATATACAACCCTACCTTGAAAAGAACTAGTGAGTATTCCATATACAACAATAATCACTTTAAAACTGAGAAATCAACAAGACTTTGATAACTTCTTGTTACAAATATCTATCACTAACAATAAAACAATCTAAAAAAAGTATTTTTCAATTTATTACTCAGTGAACATAGGTTCCCCTTTAAACTGAATGAGATTATTAAAAGTATATTTACACTTTTTAAAGATAACTTGTATGTTTATCAGTCCACAAAATACATAATCATGTAAAATAAATTAACTCTACAGAAAATACTAATGAAGTCTCCTAGAATGAAAAAGCTCCAACATTTTAGTTTCATCACGTGCTGTCATAAAGAGAGAATACATTATATCACAAATTACTAGAGAACTAGTTCATAAATAACAAATGTCTATTAAACAGCTTTTATATAAGTAATGAAGTAAAATTATCCTATATGACTAGTCACAGGGAATTTATAACCATATCAAAGTTTACAATATTGATCTTTATGCTAATGTCAACAAGCTGCTTTATCTTTCTTATTCAGCAATACAAAATATTAAATGTCAAAATTATCTCACTGAATGTGTGACATTACTACCATTATTAAACATCTTTTGCATCATTAAGTCTTTATGGTCATTTTAACTCTTCAACTTGGCTTTAATCATGTACACTAATTAACATATGTGTAGAGAATTGAATTTCACATTATAGCTCCATATAACACGAAGTCCAGAAACTGTTTATCAAGATTTAAAATATCACACAAATCTAAAATATCACACAATTGTATGCAGTGATTCATCGTAACTACAAACACACATGGTGACAGATCAACTCTATAAGATTATATCAACCAACTGGTAATACTACCACACATCTTCAAGGAGCTTGCATTGCTGTATGCAAAGTTTTACAGTTTGATGAACATATAAAGTGAAATTCAAATGTTCTGTAAAAAAAAAGCAATCACTGGTCTAAACATTCAATGTTAGTAGGGTCACATAAATAAATTACCACAAATTCACTACCAGTTAAAATACTTAAATACTCTGCATATCAAGATACTATCAATATATTCTATGTTGTTTTCAAATGTTGCAATCACTGCAATTATTTTACCTTTATAGTTGTTTACACTATCAAGTTTTATTCACAGCAACTAATATATATATCTCCTTACTGTTCTAACATCTGAATATTTCCTTCCCACTAACTACTCTATCATTATAGCACACTAAAACAAAAAGTTTTGGAAACAACAATTATTGTATTACTATAACCTTCTTTACTAAAACAACTGGTCACTGGAATAACTGAACAAAACAGATACTATACCTCCATTATTTTTTGATTGATGAAACTTTTTGTTGTAGTTACCATTATGTCTAATACATTCTGATCAATGAAAGATTTGGTTCCAACAACTTTTGTTCTATAATACCCGAAAAAAAGTTATTACAGTAAGAGTATTATCTGTCCACTAGGAGATTCTGACATAGTATAAAATTTTCCAACACAACTTTATTCTCATAAATAACTAAACAAAGTTTCAATATTACAATCACCTCCTGAAAATATATTATTTCACTGTATATCACCTTTATATTTCAACACTGTTCAGATCATCTCAATAAATTTTAAACACAATATCTCTAACTTGAATTTACTGTCAGAATTGGAAGAAAATTATAGATAAGTAGAACATGTGCAAGTGAACCACATATTGTAACAACCTATAGTGCCATTAACAAAAGAGATCCATATTAACAGTACTGTATGTTCTAGACTTCTTTAAATAAACAATATGTATATCAGAAATTACATTTATAAAATATTCAACAACTGCTAGAATGCTCCCTTATTTAGAATATAGCAGTTAGATTGCTGTTAGGACACAATACTGCATAAAAACAACTGCACACTGTTGTATATCATTCTGATAACAAGGTTACATTTTACATGAATATTTTGCTCTTCTATTACTATAAAAAAAAACTACTCTTCATGCTTATAATGTATAACACAATAAACATAAAAATGTAAAAATTTTTTTACTATACCTCAATATTAATAGGATCTTAAGCCATGGTACAGGATCAAAATATTATAAATACTATGCTTGTAAAAAAAATCCAATAATCAATAGCAAGTGTTCTATGTCACAATATTAAGTTAAATGGTACAGTAGGAATATGAGACAACAAAATGTTCAAAACTACAGATCTCCACAGTGTACGATTGAATGCAGTATAAAATGGTTATAGTCCATTTATGTAAAAGAATGAACCCCAAAGCTTCAAAACCACAGAACACAACAGTGTGTGTAGACACAAGTCACATATTCTTCAAAACCACAAAACATAATACTATATAGATACAAGTCACATGCTCTTCAAAACCACAGAACACAACAGTGTGTGTAGATACAAGTCACATGCTCATCAAAACCACACAATACAACATTATGTAGATACAAGTCACATGCTCATCAAAACTACAAAACACAACACCGTGTCGATACAAGTCACATGCTCATCAAAACCACAAAACACAACACCGTGTCGATACAAGTCACATGCTCATCAAAACCATAAAACAAAACACTGTGTAGACACAAGTCACATATTCTTCAAAACCACAGAACACAACAGTGTGTGTAGATACAAGTCACATGATCTTCAAAACCACAGAACACAACAGTGTGTGTAGATACAAGTCACATGATCTTCAAAACCACAGAACACAACAGTGTGTGTAGATACAAGTCACATGATCTTCAAAACCACACAATACAACATTATGTAGATACAAGTCACATGCTCATCAAAACCACAAAACACAACACCGGGTCGATACAAGTCACATGCTCATCAAAACCACAAAAC